GAATCAAGGGTCTGCGTGCGCAGGACGTCTTGTAGGAGACTCATTTCGACGGTACAGGGGGAGGGGGTGATGGTGGTCGCTGAGAGAGCGAGGCTGCTTGCTTAAGTAGCCTGGACTCTGTGTGTCCCGTGCATGACGTCACGGTACCCTCAGGCCCGGTGTGCCGACTCATCCGTATGTGGACGCCACTGGACACCAGTACTGAGTACTTCCATTGCCAAGTCAAGTACACATTTGGGACCATTCTTGAGACAACCACGGCAGGATTGGTGTTGACTGTACTGGAAGGACCGGTCATTATTGCCTGCGGATTAAGCCGCCAAGCCGCAAGTACTGTTCTGATTGCGACTGACACGGAAGGCCTACTTGGTATAAGTCATTCGCTTTTCGGCTCCCTGAATATCGTTATGATCCCCTGAGTCCCTAAAGGGCATGCAGGCGTGCTGACAGTACTAAGGGTAAGTACCTGAGGTAGTGAACGTAGCTTCAACACCTCTGTATGATCTCGAAGTGTGGAGATCTTGCTCGAACCCTCGCAGCTATTAGTACTTACTTACATAGTCGAGACAGCTTCTCTCGGAAAGAACTCTGCTGGAGGCCTCTCTCGCTATGTTCTCGACTGAGTATCAACCTTTTCTTCCTTTCCTTACGACACCCAAAGCCAACCCAAAGGTGTTGCGGCAGGTTGCGGCAGATGCTGGGGAGGCCCAGCGCCTGTGGTGCCTGGAGTAGTACTCCGGGAAGGCGGGCCGCTGCTGGTGTCGGTGTTGAACTTGACTCTGAGCTTGTAGCTTGACTCTTGACTCTGACTTGGACTTGAGGTGTTCCGGCTTGGGCTGCAGCAACTAAGCCTCGAGCTCTGAAGTTCTTTCTGACCCACTGCACGCGCTGCTGTACGACGACTGTCCAGCTTGTCGTATCCCTTCTCTCACCGTTGGTATCATACCATACCATCGACGCGGCGAACCCCTGTGCCCAAGCACGACAATACCCCCAATCAGACACACACCGGCCGCCCACGTCCACACACACATACCCACCCAGCAGTCGCCATGTCCAACCTCCCACCTCCCGCGCAGCCGCAATCCACACCCGCACCTACCTCCCGACGCGGCGCCGGGGCCCGCAAACGCGCCGCCCAAGCAGACGATGCCGCATACCACGCAGCAGCAGGCACGAAACGCGGCGCACCCGAGCGTGCAGATGGCGACCGCGACCGCGTCAAGCGCAAACGCGTCGACGCGTCCGCTGGCGGGGTGGCGTCGGGCGCAGACAAAGAGGACAAGGGCTCTCTGGTGAGTCTTGTCCACGGTCCTCACAGAAGTTACAATGCAGCCCACTCGTGTTTCGGGCACGTCGGGCGGACGTTCAACTACCTCGGAGAGTCCACGGCTCCCATCAGTCAGCGGGGCTCTGCGCCGTCATTAGGAGAGACCGTCCGGGTGTGTGTGTTACTTATAAGCTCGTGTCCATTGGGCAGGCTGCACAACACTGGTCGGCCGCTCCCAGCGATCAGCGTAGCTGTCCATGCCGTTGTATTGCTGAAGCGGCCTCCTCTACAGTTCGCATCACTGGGCTTTCCCGCGGAACTGACAGAAGTCCGCGTTTACATTTGGCCAGCCTCTCTGGCGCATGCATAGCTCTCCCCACCCAATGCTTCTCCCGCTTCCCAGGAGACATGTCGCACTCGAGGACATCGTGCCTCGACACAGCTTAAAATTGTCTGGCAGCTGCTTGTTCAACGACTGAGCAAAGAGGAGTTGACATGTATGGCCGCTCCTTGTGATGCACCTATATTTAGTTAGTAGTGCATGCAAGGAGTTGAGCGTGCTCGCAACTCGTGGATAGTTCGGGCTGTTCGCAGCTCTCTCGCCTAGCTATCCAAGTTCTTATGCCGGCATACGGACCACGGGGGCCGTGAGGGTCCTCGCGGTTGTGAGGCATCATTTTGCGCTCGACGCTTCGTTCCTCGAGCGGCGTTGGTCGCTTTGATACCGACAGGAAATATCTGGGGCCTGTCCATTGCGCCGTGCATCAATTGAGACTGCGCATCCTGCCGGATTCCCCATCTTTGATCCACACTAGCTGAGGTCCTCGCATCTGCTGTTTGGCAGGTCGCTGATACGAACCGCAGATAGACTTCACAACGCTACCGTCCGACGCATTGCATCGGTACCTGGCCTGTTTCGACTTAATCCCGGAGCTGGATCCATCACCACTGAGTGCCGAAGACCCGGGGCAGCCGTCCTCGCTGCTCAGGCCGAAGAGCCACATCCCTCCTCACGGACACGCACTTCGTCGGACGTCCACAGCAAGCCCCGGTCCTGGTCCGATGCCAACGGCGGCAAACCGTCCACGTCGTGACCCAGGGGCGAGTCGGCGTCGGAGTTCTCGGCTGGTGGAGGAAGAGCGGATCCCGGCACCCCCACCATTGTACAGCGATCTTTCGGAAGTGGACGGGATGCTTGCCACTATTGCTGAGCGGCATTTCCGGGAGCAAGAGGTGAAGGAGGTGGACACGCTGGCGGCGTTCATGTGTGCGGTGAAAGCGAAGAGCATGTTCAGGGACCTCTCATGAAGCGCCCCGTCTCCCCAGGCAGCGCGCGTTCGAGGGCATGCGCGGAGGTGTATTGTATCGGAGTGACGTATCGACAGCTTCTGCGATATTTCTGGACCGCGTCGACCAATCAGCGGACGTGGCGACCTCGGCCACCCTGCGCCCGGTGTCTTTCTCTGACGGCGCCTGCCACATATGGGCCTGCAAACAAGGTCCGGAATGTCGTCCCACGCTCATCTGGCGCAGGTCACCGCGTTATTTTGGGTACGGGGGTTCGCATGTTCGAGTCTCCCTGACAACCGCGCGGACATGCACATCCTCCCGCCATCCTCGCAGGCCTGTCACTGCCAGGGGTGTCCACCCAGGAAGATTGCGAGCAGCCTTCCATCACTGCCCCACATATAAGCCTGCCGTCCCTCGAGATTCCTTCCTCACCCCCCTTCCTCTCCTACCCTCCTTTCCTCACCGCAGCAGAGCTGCCTGGTTCTGTTTTCTTGTACGTCCTCCACTCTCAGACAGCACCCTAGTGAGTACTAATCATCCCCCAGCGGCAGGTCTCCACCCCAGACTCGGTCTCTCCGCCTTTTCCGAAGCTAGCTTCGCGTCGACTTTCATACCGTCTCTACAAGTCTCTACAGCCATGAAGTTCGCACAGTCTTTCGCCGCCCTCCTCGTCCTCCTCCCGCTCTTGGCCCAGGCTTCGCCCGTGGTGAGTGCTCTCAGCGTATCGACTCAGTCGGTCTTCTCACCAATCATCGGTATTCAAGGGCAACTTCAACAACGGCGTTCGCACCGGCCAGCCGCAAGCCCCGCCAGCGAAGGGTACTCCTCCCAAGGCCCCGGCCAACCCTCCCAAGGCTCCGGCTACTCCCCCCAAGGCTCCGGCCGCTCCTCCGAAGGCCCCGGCCACTCCTCCGAAGGCCCCGGCCACTCCTCCGAAGGCCCCAGCCACTCCTCCCAAGGGTGGAAACAACGCGGGCAAGGGTAACGCGGCCTCCACGACCGCTGCTGCTGCATCCTCCGCGGCTGCCGCACCCCCGGCTGCCTCCTCGGCCGCGGCGAACGCCAACGGCGGTGACGCTCAGACCTCTCTGAGTATGTATAACTACACCACGTCCGTTGAACACAATGCTGAGTATGAACAATTGCAGCGCTGGTCAGCTCCGTCATTGCCACTGGCTTCGCGGATGATGGCCAGGACCAACCGACCGCCGGCCAGGTTGCGTCGTTGACGTCGACGAACAACTTCATCAACTTCTGCGCGACCCTGCCCAACCTGCCGATCACGAACGGCAAGCAGGTCACGACCGGTTCGTGCAACCCCGCGCCCATGGGTGTCATTGCGGCGCAGACGAACATGCCCTCGTCCAAGTTCGTGTTCCCGAAGAACGGCGCGACCATCCCCGCCAACCAGGACTTCACCATCCAGATGGCGATCAGTCACCTCAACACTGGCTTCTTCACGAACCCGAACGCGAACTACTTCGCGGCCCCGCAGACGGTCGACGCTGCTGGTGACATCACCGGCCACTCGCACGTCACCGTCGACCCGCTCACCTCGCTCGACCAGACGACCCCCACGGACCCGACGAAGTTCGTCTTCTTCAAGGGCTTGAACGACAAGGCCGCGAACGGCATCCTCTCTGCTCCCGTCGCCGGCGGTCTCCCCGCTGGCGTGTACCGCCTCGCGTCGATCAACTCTGCGGCGAACCACCAGCCTGCGCTCGTCGCCGTCGCGCAGCACGGTGCGCTCGACGACATCGTCTACGTAAGTGATGCATCGATTCCGCGTGCAAGTCAACATGCTGACCGGCGATCCCTTCTAGTTCACCGTCACCGACAGCGGCGCTGCTGCCCCCCCGGCTGGCGGCAACAACGCGAGCAACTCCACTGCTGCTGCTACTGCGCCCGCCGCGTCCGCCACCGTCGGTGCCATCAAGGGCTCCAACACTGGCAAGACTCCCGGACAACAGGGTGGTTTCGCCGGCGCGCAGAAGGGCGCGCAGCCCGCCAAGGGTGGCAAGAAGAACTAAGCGGCCACGGCTCCCTCAACGAGTCATGCCCTTGGTGTATCCCTAGGCCGGGTGCCTCGCGTTCGTTTTGTTGCTGTCGTTCGTTGTTTGTTCTGTGCTAGGGAGGACTGTTAACGACGAGTGCTGTGCTGCTCACGTTCATGTTTTTGTGCTTTCATGGCTTGTGGTTTCTTGTATCACTACGCATCATGTAGACTACTTATGATCGATCGGTCGGCGCGCTGCTGTGCGGAGACCGCCCACTTTAATAGATGGGTATTGGGTTCTGGGACCCCGACAATCTTGGTGCTTGTGCTCTCTCGACCCGTTCGCCCTGCTATCATAGTACCAGGCTCATACAGGCTGACGATGTGGTATGCGGACACCCTCTATACTAACATCGATATAATAAAGAAACGGGGATTTAAACATGCCCCATGGCTGAGTTGGTTACAGCGTCCGACTGTTATATCGGCTTCGTGGGTCTTGCAATCGGAAGGTCGTGAGTTCGAGCCTCACTGGGGCAGCCTAGGCTGCGCGCACTAATTTTTTGGTGGCTAGCCTGAGGTGTGTTGTTTGCTTCAAGGCCACTTACGACCACGCAATGGAATGCTTTGAAGGATGGCTTCAACTGCGTAAATGTATTCTCGTATGAGGCGATCTGTTGGAGCTTCAAAGCTTCAATATAACCGACGGCGAAACATCGCGCATGCTGTGCCGGCCGATCCAAAGCTGTGAAAACAGACGGACGAAGTACGTACGTATGTGTTCGTGCGACAAGACTTCCTGGCACCGCAATGTGCACCCGCTTGTGATTGATTGGACTCGGGGCACCACGATGTCTAAACAAGATGATGTCTCGTCCTTGCGTCGGTAAACCTAATAATGATACAGCAAAAAGCCTAGAACAGATGGGTAACGGAAGCAGCGGGTATATATCAATCCAAATCCCAAGATCATCGACATGCGGCCACTCGCGGTTACTGATACTTCTCTTTGTATATCCACGCCAGTCCGACGTCGCTGGCACCTTGCTGCACCTAAAGCGTGGGAGTAAGGTATCAATATGCGTGACACAGGGAGGGAAAGGAGGGGACATACAGCAGCGCGATACCACTTCGCCGCCTCCTTCTTGTCTTTCTTGCAGCCTTTTCCATGCTCAAGGCAGAACGCGAGCTCCTGCTGGGCATCCGGGTCCCCGAGTCGGGATGCAACCCGGTAGTATTGCTGTCAGACGGTCAGCAATTGCATGCATGTAGGTAAAGGCCGCACGCACCACTGCCATCTCCTTGTCCTTCTGGACACCCCAACCTCGGAAGAAGCTCTGTCCGACTTCATAGATAGCCAAAACCAGTTCGGACTATAAGCCAATGGTTAGACCGCATAGACAAGGAACAAGGTCGCAGATTATACTTACCCTGACCGCGCTCATATCACCGTGCTGTCCCTTCTCCATATCCGTGACCGCAAGCTCTGCCGCGCGCCGCAACCACTTGAACCCCGTCGCCTCGTCCTTCGGGCATCCCCACCCATGCCGCTGCGCGAGCCCCCACATGAGCATCCCCACGCCGCATCCCCCGCCCAACGTCGCGCTCTTCTCGAACGCTTGCGCCGACTCCGTAAGCCGGTTCTCGAGGTGGTGCTTGATCCCAAGTTGGAGGAAGTCCTGCGGCGTTTGTGGGTTCGCCGGGACGGGATTCTCTTCCTTGTGCCGGCTCGCGGTCGACTTGGCGCGCTGCCGCCCTGGGGTTCCAGGCATCGCGGGTGTTGTAGGCGTGTTCGGTGCATATTGCGCGGGAGATGACGGGCCATTTAAGTTTGCAGATGTCGGGGTGGGAGGGAGCTCGTAGTAGGAGTAGTTCGAGTATACGCTCACCGAGGACGTTATGCGGGGTGACTGCCCGTCTGAGCCTGGGGTTTGCGCGTGCAGGGAAACCGAAGCAGGAGACTGCACAATGTTCGGAGATGGAGTGGGGGAAGGGTACGGATATGAGTACGGCTGCTGTTCGCGGATGGAAGCAGGAGAGACGGGCCGCGAGCCCGAGTGCGCTGAGGGACCGAGTGCTGGTGAACCGAGAGGGCTTGGCTCCTGGCGTGGACTCGCAGCAGGTGAATGTGCTGGTGAATGAACGGGGGATGCTGAATAGGGCGAGTTCCTCATCAGCACTTCGCGTTTCCGATCCTCCGATTCATCCCAATCAATGTTCGACACTGGCTGCACCACCGGCCTTGAGAAGTTCAGGCTCGGGGCCTGCACGCGCGACGGCATCCGCCCGCCTTTCGAGGGACCCGGGGCTCCAGAGTCATACTCCTGCTGCCAGGGCTCCGGTTCCGCGGAAACCACCACGGTGGGCAGATCTGGAACGTCAGGGGGGTCGTAGACAGAAGGAGGATCGACGACGCCGGACGAGCGCCATGTGTCGCGGTACCTGTTGGTTATCGTGTCGATGTCATAGTTGGATGCGAGAGACTCGTGTGGTGCGCGACCGTGGGAGGGCGCAGTGGTCGAGCGTGCATCCCAGGAGATGGTGCGCATGCTCGCACCATCGTCGTAGTACGATGTCGAGGTGGCCGTCGAGCTCCGAAACTGTGTATGCAGGATGGGCGAGTGGGGTGGGGGTGGTGCGCTATTCGGACTTGAGCTTCCTGTCTGCCGCGTAGGTGTTCCAGGGGGCTCGAGGTTGGCTGGTCTGTGGCCGTCGGCTCTCCTGGACGACGTGCGGCGGATGAGGGAGTTGAGCGGTGAGGAATCGCGCAGATTGGGGGTGAGCTGGGGCCCAGCTGAGGGCTCCGCCATGTTGTCTGGCTGGCAGAGAGGAGTGGAGTGTGCAGTGATGAGGATGATCGTCTGCAAAGCAGTACTTGGTCCATTATAGCAGTGGTCGTTGCCAAGTAGATCCTCCTCCCGATGTAACCGCGGCGCGACCGTCGGTCACGTAACGGAGATCTGCACCGCTCGGTTCCAGATTTGCAACAATGCAACAGCTCTCTCGCTCGTGCGCGTCGCCGCGTCCACTTCAGAGTCCAGAGGCGTTCAGATGGTCAAACCAGTTGGAATCACTCCCCTCCCTCTCTCCTCCTAGTGAAGGCCTCGGGCGCACCAGCGAGAGCTCTAGAGCTATCAAGGGTCCGAAAGTCCGCAGAGATGACGGATCCAAGCGCGAATGTGCGCGCAGCTGCTGCGACCACGGCGAAGCTATATGCAAGCGCATACGATCGCCAATCGCACACGGAACGTACGGCAGCATGGGTGCCCCTGGGCATACCACCCAGATGAAGGAGACGGATGAGAGTCATCGTGCGGAGGAGGGAGATCTCGAGACAGAGCGCGCGTCGGGGACGACGATGGCGAGAGAAGACTCACGATGCGGGCTCAGCGAGAGACATGCAGAACGGGGAAAAGGGACGATCGAGGGATGAGCTCGGAGAGGGAGACTTTATAGCAGACAGCCAGTGGTGTGCCGAACGAGGAAGCGAACACGGTGCGCAAGACCCCACTCATGGCGCAGAGCAGAGAGCACGCTCGCATTAGAGATGTAACTACAAGTAGTATGAGGTGTGCAGTATCCGACCCGTCTAGAGATACTTTTTCTTGTGCTTGAGATCTGCGTATGGGTCCGGCTTGGGCATCTTCCCGAACCGAGGTTCGTCCTGCTTGAGCGTGAACTTGTAGATGTGCGACACCGTCTCGTCCCACACTTCACGCCACATATGCGCACCGCCTCCCCGAGCTCCGTCGAAGCCGTAGTGCTCTGCAAAGGCGCGGAAGTTGAACCCAAGCCGCTCCGAGTCCTGGAACACGGGAATGTCGATGGGCTCCGTTGGTGACGACTGCGGGAGAACCAGCAGGACATAGCGGTGGTATGGAGTACCACGCTGCGGGTGTGGTGGGACGTAGCGGGTGTGCGTGTCCAGAGACACTGTTGGTGACTGGGTGAACGCGGAGAGAGGGACGTTAGGCCTATGAGGGTAGGTCTGTCAGGGGAAGTACCGAACGGACACGTAGGGAGGACTTACTGCATCCAGTGCAAGTACGTAGTGAACGACTGGCTGTCCGAGTCGGGGACGTCCAAGTCAACCATCAACAAGGTATACAGACGCGTGTCCGTGTGGAAGAGCGTTGTGTAGATCTCAGGCGGTCTCCTCGTCTGACATAGCAGCATGCGTGAGTTATATGCAAGGATATCTAAAACGTCTCCTCATGACGCTGAACGCGTTCGACGAGGAGAGACGAAAGGCGAGCTTGGAGACGTACCTGCTCTGGCACGAGGAAGCTACCAGGTTCGACTTGCCTGAGCTTGCGCTTGACACGCGTGCGCAGGTAATTGCTCTTCGGAGGCGGCTCGAGGTAGCGGATACGGAGGTCAAGCGAGGGGTGCAACTCCGGAAGCATATCAGGGACCACCTTCATCTGGTATATACGCTCCATCTATACTCACCCTGTCAGCGCACCAACCCTTCGCACTGGAGAAACACGACGTACCAGAAGGTCCAAGTCTCCCTCCTCTCTCCATTTCTGCTCGGCCAGGTGCCTGTATATCGGCTTGCTCATGTCCGCTACAAGCATGCGTGTCACTCCAGCACGCACTTCACGATGTCCATGGCGACTCACCCATGCCGTTCCTCGCCTTCCACCTTACGTCGGGCAGGTTCGCCTCGCCCTGGATTTCCAGCACGCGCACCTTCTTCCGCATCTCTTCCAACGCCTGCTCGTCCCTCTCGCCCTCAGGTTTCGCTTCCTCAGCCTTCACCTTCGCCTGCAACTCCTCCAGCTCCTTCTTGACGAAGGCAGCGTCGCGCAATATATAGCGCAGCGCATAGTCATACGCAGGCTCGACGCCCTTCGCAAGTGGCCGACACCACTCCCTCGGACGCTCCAGCGAAATGGGAGGCCTACGTGTCGGCCACTGGCGCTGCTTCCCCTTCGGCTGCTCGGTCTGCTGGGGCTCGGCCGGCTCTTCTGGGGCAGTCTCCTTCGCTGGCGCAGGTGTCGGCGGGTTTGCTGGCGGGGGCGGGGGCGGCGCGCTCGCCTGCGTGGAGGCCGCTTCGACCGTTGCGTTCCCGCGCACAGATACTAGCTTAGGCGCATAGCGGGGCAGTCGGCGGAGAGCGAGCATGGTGGTCGGGACGAGCTGCCGCCTGTGCGCTCTGGAGGGCAGAAATTCCGAACGAGCGCTTGGCCAGCGTGTATGCCCGGTTTGGCAATTCCTCGCTAACCACTGCACCAAAAGTGCATACAGACTTCAGTACAGAGCCACGACCAACCCACAGGCTAGCTTGACACGATTGAACTCGTCGTAGCGGTTACACCAATGACATCCACTCGGAGCTTCGCACTAGATACATACGGTAATTGCAATCCAACGGACGAGTAATGATTCGTAAGTGATTTGGATACAGGTTTGACAGCAGTTTGCATATCGATGTAGCGGTCTTAAAACATTAGTGTCTAGCGGAGTTGGCCCGGCCTCTCCAAGGCCTCTCGGTACATCACCAATTCTAGCGTCGAACGAACAAAAACCTAAAACACATGCCTAGCATGCTGCCCCAGTGAGGCTCGAACTCACGACCTTCCGATTGCATCTCACAGCATGTCTGCGTAACAGTCGGACGCTGTAACCAACTCAGCCATGGGGCATATACCCAAGATCCACCTTGTAGCTCTCAAGCGTCAGTCCAGGAGAGGCAGCTATCAGCAGGCTTGAGGCTCTTGCCGTCTTTAACTTACTACTATGTACTAGGACTTGTCTGAGGCTTTCCCCTTAGGCAGCCCCCGATTCGAGAAGTCGTACGTATATGTCTTGAACTGACACTGTTGTGAGCTTGGCTATGTACATATGACCTCTCTGAACTCACTCACCTCAGTACTATGCGCTTGAAGGCTGATGGTGGGTGCTATTTGACTCTCACAGCAGGAACGCCTTGTGCCAATATCGTAAGTGCTTGACATACTTGCCAAGGTCCATCACGCCGTTGAGATCAAATAATGCGTGAAGTGACCGGTCCCACCGTCTAGCATCGTCGACGCCCTATGTGTGACCGTTATCATAATGGGCGTAGCATTGTACGAGTACGATAGCAGTAGTGGTGGTTGCGCCAGTGTAACTTTGCAGGTTAGTGCATCTTCAAAGACCTGAGCAAAGGGGCTGACCTTGATACCAATATGACAGAGTGCGCTCCCGGGCAATGCGCATCATGGTGGCAACTAGACCAGCGGCAAGTGCTTCTTCGTCTTCCAGTGATGCAGCTGATCCGGCCATGCAGATGGACCCATATGTACTTACTCCAGACTTCTCCCGGTCGGAGGGCGTATATATACTCAGCCTGTCGCTCTGGGGGCTCCTCAGGCTTCAACCCGGCCTCTCATCTCCATGTACTCGATGAGCTCGCGGTTCGGCGCCCTGGCCGTGGCGGCCCTCGCGTTCGCCCTACATGTCGGTGCCCTGGCACCCACCAATCCCCAATATGTGAAGCTGGCAGCCAAGACCGGGTCGTCATTCAGCAAGCGACAGAGCGCGTCCTTTCCTCTGTACAACTTCACGCAGCCTCTCGACCACTTCTCCGATACCGGCTTCACCTTTCAGCAGCGGTACTGGCTCAGCGACCGCCACTACAAGCCTGGTGGACCAGTGATAGTCTTCGAGGCTGGCGAGGGTCCCGGGGACGATCGCATCCCCATCCTGGACACCGGTATCGTTGACATCCTTGCCAACGCGACGAACGGCCTGGGTATCATCCTGGAACACAGATACTATGGTATGCATGATGCCTATCTCTTGTACCGCGCCGTTCGACTCATGTATTCTTCTTCCAGGCGAATCCGTGCCGGTCCAGAACTTCACAACGGACTCGCTGAGGTACGCGCCGTCCGACGTCATGTTCTCGTGACATATAGCGATAAGAGTACTGGGCCTGACGTTACGGCTCCTTTGCAGGTGGTTGAACAATGAGCAAGCCGCCGCCGACTCCGCCAACTTCATCGCGAACGTCACGTTCCCGAACATCTCTGCAGACCTGACGGCACCCGGCACGCCGTGGATCTACTACGGGGTCAGTACACCCGCCCTTCCTCCACATGCAACCGCTTGGCGTGCAAAAATAACCCCCCTTCTCCACATGTTGTACGCTTCGCTTCGTAGAGGAGAGCTGACATTCCATGCGTTCGCAGGGATCGTATGGTGGCGCGCGGGCCGCACATATGCGCGTGCTCTATCCGGACATCGTCTTCGCCGCGATCTCCTCCAGCGGTGTGACGCATGCAACGGTGGTCGACTGGCGCTACTTCGACATCATCCGGCAGTTCGCTCCCGCGGACTGTATCGCGCAGGTACAGAAGACCATATACGAATTCGACGCCCTGATCGCGAACAAGAAGACGCGTGACGCCATCAAGGCTGTCTTCGGGCTCTCGGGTGTATCATACGACCCCGACGTCGCGTCCCTGCTCTCGGTGCGTTCAGCTGCGAACTGTCCAGTGTCAACTTCAGGTCACCGGACGGCGCGATTCTGACTCTCATTGTATGTGCAGGGACCATTGGGCGGCTGGCAGAACACGAACTGGGATCCCGCTATCAACAGTCTTGGTTTCGCGAGATTCTGTGCGGCCCTGGGAGCGCCCGATAACGCTACGGTGCACACCGTACAGGGCATCACTGTGTCCAACGCTACATTCAACTACGCAAAGTACATCAACAGGGTATGCCGCCCAATGCAACTGCGAAATGAAATAGCTCACACTGACCGCTTTCGCGCTTCTGCTAGACCTCCTCGAGCTGCCCCATTGAACAGCAGGACGAGGTCTGTGTCCTCCGTCGGGCATCAGGAGCTGGCTGGCGCTGACATATATTCAACGCGTAGTGTTTCGGCACCATCACGAACAAGGAGTTCTACGAGCAGACCGACCTGTCTCAGACCTGGCGGCTCTGGAATTTCCAAGTCTGCACGCAATGGGGCTTCCTGATGGTGCGACATCTCTTCAGCGCGATGTGTCGCGCTCCCCTCTACCCGACTGAGACCGTCCTCCTCATGACCGATTGACAGACGCCACCGCCCGACCCGAAGATCCCGCGTATCATCTCTAACCTCCTCACCAAGGACTACGCCGCGCTCTCCTGCACGCTCGTACGTGCTCCCGTCGCTGCTCGGACATAGCCACTGATGTACGCAACGTCCTGCCCAGGCTTACCCTCCCGGCGAGCACTTCACGGTCCCCAAGGAGCCTGACGTAGAGGCCGTAAACAAGCTCGGCGGGTATCACATTGCGGCCGACCGGCTCGCCATCATAGACGGTCAAGGTAGGATCACTACTCCTTTCAGCCTCATCAGCGTCCTTATCCCATATCTCCTCCTAGACGACCCGTGGAGAGGCGATACGCCTCACAGCCCAGATCCTGCAGCGCATCCTCGCCCTGACACCACCTTGCGTCCGTTCAAACTCATCCCCACGGCGGTGCATCACTGGGACGAGAATGGTCTCGCTGATCCTAGTGCGGAGCCTGCGTTTATCCAGACTATCCACCACCAAGAGATCGCCTTCGTGAAGGCCTGGCTGAAAGACTTCAAGCCTCCACGGCAATAAGCGGGTGTATCGTCACCCTCCGCCAGCGCGTAGCACAGTACACAACCACGAATGCATTGTCATTAGGATATCATCGAACACGATTGGATGAGTAATGGCGCGGATATCAACAGTACTCGTCATGATCAGAACAGGATCTCAGATACAAAGGAAAGTCATAATAATACAAGGGCAAGCGCAGCAGCAACGACGAACGAGCAATAACAGCCCACAAGAGTCTGGCAGCAGAGCGACACCTGGCCCGTCATTCTAGTCGAAGTCTTCGAAATTCGATCCGTTGTCATCCTCGTCCCCGGACGAGATCTCCACGTACTTCGACACCGTCCTCGCCACTGCCCTCGCTGCAGCTGCACGTCTGGGCGCGTCAGAGCGCTTGGGTGGGGGCGGAGGAACATCGTCGTCATCGTCGTCGAAGTCGTCCTCCGATGCGACAACTTTCTTTGCAGCTTTCTTCGCCGGAGCAGCCTTGCTCTTCGAAGCTTGACTGCTCGACGACGGCTTGCGTGCTGCGGGGGCCTTCTTCGCAGGTGGTGCACCCTTCCCGAGGAAGTCTGTGATGGCGGCCTGCTTGCCGTTCTTCTTAGGCGGGTCGACCTCCATGATCTCGTCATCATCATCCCCGACGGGAGAAGGCTTCTTCTTCTTCGCAGCAGGCTTGATGGGTTTGTCGTCATCGCTATCGTCGAGGTCGTTGTCGAGACTGTAGCAGAACACTAGATGAGCGACGAGGCCCGTGGCAAATGCGATGACACTGACCTCTTCCGCTTGCCCACCGATCCGTTCTTGGCCTTGGCCTTCCCTTTGTCTTTCGACGAGGGTGGCGAGTCAAACTCAGAGTCTGAGTTGGCCTTTGCCGCGGCAGCCTTCTTCCTAGGAGCAGGCTTGGGAGGAGCTTCGACCATCTCGATGTCAGAGTCATCCTCGACCTTCGTTACGGCCTTCTTCGCAGGAGCTCGCTTCTTCGGCGGAGGCGGAACGTCGTCGTCACTCTCGTCCTTCTTGATCGTGACGTTCGAGCCCGACGGAACAGCAGATGCAGGCTTCTTGGCCTCGGAGGCTTTCCGGGCCTTTGGAGCAGGCTTCGTGGGATTGAAGTCCTCGTCCTCGTCCTCCGCCTTCGGCTTCTTGGGCTTGAAGCCCAGCTTCGCCGCCTTCTTCTTGCCCTTCTTGGTGCCCTGCTCCGCCTCCGCAGCGCACAGCTTGGCCTCCCAGTCCTCGCAAGTTTGCTACAGTCCCCTCGTCACACTCATATCGGACTTAAGAATCATACGCCAACACTCACCCTCCATTGCGAGAGGAACGCGTCCAGGTCGGTCTGCCAGATCTCGATGGGTGTGAGTGCAAGAAGAACAAGCAGTTCCTCCTCCTTCTCCTTGGCTTGCTGGAGGAGCTTGTCGATCTGTCGAGTCGGACGTGTGAGACATCATCAATGCGTAGACTCAGAAGAAACCAACCTTCTCCTTCGTCAAGCTCCAGATGGCCATACCCAGGAGGTAGTCGTAGTCGGTGATTTTCTCATTAGAGCTGTCGACGTTCCCGCTGTCGTCCTCATCCTCCTCGACGACCTCCTCGGTCTCGCCAGCCGCCTTCGCCTTGACAACCTTGGGGAAGGGACGGAACTGCCTCTTGCGCAACTCGGCCACGATGTCCGCCTTGCGACGGTTCGAGACGACAAGCTCCTTGTCAACGATCATCTTGATGAAACGGGCCTGGTTGTTGAGCTTGTCGAGCTGGTTCTGCAGCTCGTTCGCTAGGAAGTCCTGTCCGCCTGTAAGTGTCTACCCGCGTTCGATATGCATGAGATGGACATACCTTGCGCTTCTGGTAGTACGCGAGACGTTTAGGGTAGAAGTCCTCGATAATCTCCTCCGCCGAGCTGTACTTCTTGATCTTGCCATCAAAGTCGAAACAGACCATGTTGCTCGTGTTGATCTTGGTTGTGAGCTTGAAGAACTCGTGGAGGCCCTGCTTCTCCGCCTTCTCAAGCTCCTTCTCGGACATGGTAATGACGAAGTGGACGTTCATGTTGTTATGATACTCTTTGTAGTCCTGAAAACGAT